TAATTTGGATTAACATTGCGGGTTTGGATGCAGTCTGGTTTGACCCAATTTTAACGGGTCATTTTGGGTTCGGTCACTTTCCGGTCGGGTCTAAATTTGACACCATGGAGACTGGAGAGAAGTGTGGGGGCAATAATTGTAGTGGTACTTTATTTTTGTTGTATTGCACATTCATTGCAGGAGTATGCACCAGTCCACAAAAGAGTAGCAACCAGACAAAGCTGGGGAATGGGCCAATCATTGGAGTGTACTTCAAGTGGGGGAAAATCCTAATAAATAAAATCTTGTCCAGGATCCACATATCAACCCATAATCATGTGTACAACTTAATCAGGTTTTGTTAGTTTCCTTTTAAACCATGTGTGGTATGTAGGGGCTGCATAATAACCTTAGCCTGTCCTTTTCTGTTGAAATGTACAGGTGTGAAAGCACAAGTTTCTCCCATTTTGACATTTCAAAGTTTTTGTGATTCTTGTACTCTTAGGGACAACTTAGTTGTCATGTGAATCTCTATTTTGTTTTGGTGTCATCATGTGAATCTTTATGAACAACCCCTATTAATAATAATCACATCTTTCATGGTATTTGTCTATTTGAAAGTCAGTTGACAAGGCAAGAAATTATAATGGGATTACACTCTCATTTGATTCATGGCATGGGAGGCAACTATGTTATGCATAAGACCTCTGTAAGTACCAGGTGTATGCTCCTCTCTTGTTAGTCAATGTTTGATTAAAACTTGATTTACTTATCTCAAGTGATCGTTCGATCGATTTTGAGGAGGCCTCAGGGTGAAATTCATTTTTTTGTCTATTTGAAAGGAATAATCTCACATTTCAATGTACTTGTGTAAAATATATTCAAATTAACACTAGGGTTTTGGGGTACCTGTGGTGTTCTGTTTGTAAATTGATAATTTCTACCCATGGCCTCTAACCCCCACCCTAGCGCGACCTGAACTCACTCCCAACTTCTTCAATGACACCCCCAAAAATTACTGTATTATTTTTTTGAATATTTTCTAGAAGTGTTATGTATTACAGAGTACAGTGTACTAAGGCCATGTTCTCTTCAACTGATCTGAATGGTTCTGATTTGATTGGAATAAGATCTGATTTGGTATGGTGTGATCGGATCTGAATGTAATTATATTTAAAGTTGTTTTTGATTTGGTCTGATCTGACTTGATTCAAATAAGAATTAGTAATAGGGAGAACTCCCTAGATAGGAGTAAAAAACATGAAAATACCAAAATAGGAGTCCTAAGTCTTTTAAGACCAAAATAAGAGTTCACACCATAGTTTAAAAACCGGACCGGACCGGCCGGTTCGGACCGTGAACCGGCGAACCGGTGGTCCAAACGGTCCGGTCCGGCCCATTGGACCGTAATGAGCTTCGAACCGGCCAGAACCGGTTTAAACTAGTGAGAACCGGCCGGTCGGACTGGTCCGACCAGTTTTTTTTTTTTTTTTTTTTTGCAAATTTTTTTCCAAAACTTCACTCCATGGGGGTTTGAACCCAAGACCTCTTAGCTATTTGGTTGAGTTCCTAACCATCCAACTA